AGTGATTGTGGCACACAGGCTTAGTTGCTCCGTGGCACGTGGGTTCTTCCCGGACCAGGGATTGAACCCGTGTCCCCTGCACTGGCAGGCGGATTCTTAACCACTGCACCACCAGGGAAGCCCTATTTGTAGACTTTTTGAGGATGGCCATTCTGACTGGTGTGAGGTGGCACATACTCTTCTTTATAGAACTTTCTCTTCCTTCTATTCTATTAACCTAAACGTAGCCTAAAGAGAATCTTTTCTGACTAACTCATTCTAGGGAATTGTGGCAGAAACCATTGTCTCCAAATTATTACTCCCTTCTCTTTTCTTTCAATAACAGAACCCCTGAATTTTTAAAAATTTTTATTTATTTTTATTGAGATAGAATGCACATATCATAAAACTCAGTGTTTTAAAGTATACAACTCAATATTTTTAGTAGATTCACAAGGTTGTGCAACCCTCATCACTATCTAATTCCAAATTATTTCATTACCCCCCAAATAAACCCCATGGCCATTAGCAGTTGCTCCCCATTCTCTCCTCCCTCCCTCCTCTCTGGCAGCCATTAATCTATTTTCTATCTGTATGGATTTTCCTATTCTGGACATTTCCTATAGTTGGAATCTTATATTAGGTGATCTTTAGTGTCTGGCTTCTTTTATTTAGTATGTTTTTAAGGTTCATTCACAATTGTAGCATGCATAAGTACTTCATTCCTTTTTATTGGCAAATAATATTCCATAGTATGGGTATACCATAATACCATATTTTGTTTATCCATCTATAGTTGATGGACATTTGGGTTGTTTCCCACTTTTTGGCTATTATGAATAATGCTACCCTGAACATACATGTACAAGTTTTTGTGTGGACAGATGTTTTCAAATCTCTTGGGTTTACACTAGGAGGGAGTTGCTGGGTCATATGATAACTTTAACGTTTTGAAGAGCTGCCAAGCTATTTTCCACAGTGGCTGTGCCATTTTACATTCCCACCAGCAGTATATGAGGAGAATCCTTGGTTTTTAGCTGGGCATACTAAGCCTGGGAAAAGGTCAATTTTCCAGCTTCCCTTTTAGCTATATATGGCCGCACAACTAAGTTCTGGCTTATAGGATGGGAGGTAAGCAGAAGTGGTATGTGCAGTTTCTGGTTGAAACATGTCCTCTGTCGCTTTCTCCAACCTTCTGGTTTGGAAGGTCGACTTAATGACTGGAAGGCCAGCAGCCATCTTGGGCCATGGAGTGACTTTGGGAAGGAAAGCCAGAGGACAGGATAGAAGGAATCTGTGACTGACACCATGGAAGGCCATGCTACCCCCTTGGGCTTTTTAAATATGGAGGAGACATAAACTTCTATGGTGCTTGACACTATTATCTTTTTCTTATTAGTTACAGCCAAATCTAACCCTAACTGATACCGTTACTGAATTCCTTCACTCACTGAGCAAATTTTCATTGAAAGTCAATTAAAAGCCAGGTCCTGAGCTTGGTGTTAAAGAAATAAAGATGTATGAAATAAGGACTGAGAAAATAGAAGCAATCAGAAAAGAACTCCTTCAGCCTCCTCCATTTCATCCACCAACCTACTGTCTCATGTATCAGCCTGAATGCACTGTCCCTGCTTCCATCATGTGTGACTTGTATCCCACTCCTTTTTGTCTACTCAAGGACTTTCATCCTGCAATTGTCCCTTCACCCTCCTGTATCTTCAATTTTCCTCCCTACTCTATTGGATTATCCTCATCAGTGTACAAATAATCTAAGAAAAACAGTCTTCTCACCCCTCAGTTTCTCCCAGACTTTTATGTTTTCTTTAAGCAAACTGGAGTTAGGTTTCTGTCAGTCGCAACTGAAAAAATCCTGATTAATACAGGACACATGGATAGGTACCTATGGAAACAGCCAGTGTACTTTTCCCCATTCGTCTTCAATGGGTAAAAAGAGTATAGCTGCATAGAGTTCATCCTTCCTCTCCGCAGAGGACATGGCAACTCTAAATTGTTCATTTGTGTACTTTCTTGTCGCCAACCTCACAGCTGTCCAGGGATTTCAGATATAGTTATGTGGATGTTTGAAATCCACCCTCACAATAGTTTAATAGGAACCAATATTTTTAATGAAACATTTTTTAAAATTTCTCGTGTTTACATGAAAATTCCTCTTACATAGTTTTGCACAGATTATCTGTTGAAGAGGAGAATACTTGGCTTCAGAATTTAAATGAGGGTCATAATAAAGACAGTAAAATGAGTGAGAGATACAGTGCTTAACATCGAGCATATATTTTTTATTTTTTTTTAAAAATTTATTATATTTTAAAAATATATTTATATATTTAAATGAATGAATAATTGGATGAATATTTATTTATATATATAAATTTATATTTATATAAATAAATAAATGAATAATATTTATAAATTATATTTATTTATATATAAATATACATTTATTTATATATTATTTAATATATTTATTAAATGGATGAATTAATGGACGAAATTAATTAAATTAACAGTTTGCAAATTGTTGTATTCCCAGAATTGGTTTTGTAACTTAGTTGGTTTGAATTTGGGATGCATTTTCCCAAGGAAACAATTTTATAAATGGTACTTAAGTGCCAAGAAATCCCACTAAGGCTGTTTAGCCAATAGTGTAGCAATAAAATGTAGAAAAGTAATGGCATTGTGTGAGAATGCGGTTTAAACAATTTGGAATACTGGTGATTGAGGAAAAGTAACTTTAATTAGGAGATGAGGTGGTGCATGAAAAATGTGGTAATTCCGAAGGGGACTTCTGAGACCTTTCAAGTGTTCTGGAGGGTACTATCTCCTTTTTTTTTTTAAGAAGATGTTGGGGGTAGGAGTTTATTAATTAATTAATTTATTTTTGCTGTTTTGAGTCTTCGTTTCTGTGCGAGGGCTTTCTCTAGTTGTGGCAAGCGGGGGCCACTCTTCATCGCGGTGCGCAGGCCTCTCACTATCGCGGCATCTCTTGTTGCGGAGCACAGGCTCCACACGCGCAGGCTCAGTAGTTGTGGCTCACGGGCCTAGTTGCTCCGCGGCATGTGGGATACTCCCAGGCCAGGGCTCGAACCTGTGTCCCCTGCATTAGCAGGCAGATTCTCAACCACTGTGCCACCAGGGAAGCCCTACTGTTTCCTTTTTACATCTATTTTCAAATAAAAATGCATGCATTTCTCTCCCTTGGCACAGCCTTATACTATTCTTATCAGCATGATCATTATTGTTTTCTTGGTAGGCAATTAACAAATGTTGAGTTTCCAGTTGGATGGAAGGGTAGGAACAAAGCAAGATGGAAGGTCGAGGGAAATTTCTCTTAAGTAATTGGAAAAGAATTGGAAGAAATGAACATGTCATAAACAGCAAACTTGTATTTCTTATTATGTGTCTCAGTATTCAGAATAGAAGGAAGGTGACACAGAGAGGCTTACTATTTATACAGGAAGTAAGACCCACACGTAGAAAGAAAAAGCACTACTGGGTAAGTCATTTTGGATGACAATCAAGGCGATGCCTGTTCAGTGATCTTTGGGGCCAGGAAGGGAGCAGGAAGTGCTTGAGTCTGACCTTGTGCAAGAGGATTTCAGTGAGAAAAGAGTTGGGAGAGTATATGAGGTGAAATTAACTGAATGGTACTTGATAGAAAATACAGAAAACGGGGCTTCCCTGGTGGCGCAGTGGTTGAGAGTCCGCCTGCCGATGCAGGGGACACGGGTTCGTGCCCCGGTCCAGGAGGATCCCACATGCCGCGCAGCGGCTGGGCCCGTGGACCATGGCCGCTGAGCCTGCGCGTCCGGAGCCTGTGCTCCGCGACGGGAGAGGCCACGGCAGTGAGGGGCCCGCATATCGCAAAAAAAAATAAAATAAAATAAAATACAGAAAAAGGATGAAACACGGTGTGAGCATGATTCTACCAAAGAAGAAGAAAGAATATGGTGGGGAAAGGATGCTGGATGATTTCCCCATGGAGCCTACACGATGGCTCAGGAAAGGTTAGTGCTGATCTAGAGCCAGACAGGGAATAATGAATGGCCTTGGAGTTTTCAAGTGATCAGGCAGCATGTGATACTTTCAGAGGTGTTGGCAATTCAGATTGTGCCTTAATATACCTAAGTGTTTCTATAAAACACAGAATTTGTATTATTTTACCATATTCTGACCGTTTTTGTTTGTTTTTGGTTGCGTGTCCTATTACGCAAATCTTACAGATTCCTAAAGAAGGAGATTTTGAAACCCTTACCTTTGGTATTAAAAGATGTCAAGTACTCCCCCTTCCCTCCTTCTCTCCTTTCTTTAGCTTTCTTTCGTTAACTGACTCTGACCAAATCACTTCATTCTTTGGGTCCCTGATTATTATTATTATTTAATCTCTAAATGACAACACTGAACTAGATTATCTATCCCTTCCACTTCTAAAAACTTGATTATGAAACTTTCCAAAATGACAAAACACAGCAAGCGACGAGGACGAGCCCTAATCATATTGGCCAAATTAAATAGCTGTGGTTTCCCAAAAAGTTACTTCTAAATATCACAGATGATTCAGTTACCCCCTTTTTTTCCCCTAGAACTAGTAGATCTGTCTGCTCTCAGAGCTGTTACGAGGGCACTGAGATTTACGTAGAAAAAGTGGTGCGGGAAGCGCGGGATTTTCACACAGCATTTCACAGATTTTCAAATCAGCAAAACTGTTAGCTCCTATCTCCTTGACTCAAAAAATCTGGATAGCCACAAGTAGATAAAACCTTATCTTTCCGCTCTTGAGTTCCCCCTCCTGGGCTTTAGATGCATTGACCGGCATAAGATTCGGCCCCTTAACTGCTGAGCCTAACACCCCAGGCGTTCACTTGGCGCCTGGCTGACCCGTGGGGGTCTGAGGTTTCCCGCGAGAGGTGGGCGCGGGGGGAAAGCGGGGCCGCCACACTTCCGGTGTCCGGGTCGGGCGCTCGCCACACTTCCTGTTGATCCGGCTCCGCTGAGGGCCGGGCGGAGAGGAGGGCCGGCGGGCGGGCGGCGGTCACTCACTGGCCAGGCGTGGGCGCACGCGGGGCCGCACTGAGTGCAGAACGTCGTCCGCCTCGTCGCCTGAGCCTCGAGCACTCTCGGCCGCCGCGTCACCTGCCCTCCGTGCTTTCGTCCGGCCCTCGGCCCCGCTGCGCGGCACCATGCCCGCCGTGGACAAGCTCCTGCTAGAGGAGGCGTTGCAGGACAGCCCCCAGGTACCTCCCGCCGCCCGGGTCCCCCTCGCCCTAGGGCTTGAGGCCGAGGAGGCCCTACCAGCCCCGGGGTGGAGGCTGGGAGTACGCCGGGCCCCCTCGGGGGCGAAGAGGGGGCGGGCCCGGCCCTGTGTCTTGAGTCCGGGATGCTCCGGGAGCCGGCATCCCTCAGAAAGGGCTGGAGACGTCGGGAAAGCCCCCCGCGGCCGGAGTCTTTGTGTCCCGACCCCTTTCCAAACTCAGCTGAAACCGAGGCTGCTCGGCCTAGGCTTGGGCTCCACCAAGTGCCCCGGGCAAATAATCTTTTTTTTGCCTCAGCTTTGTCGTAAGATAGGAATAATTGTACCTGCCTCCTAGAGTTGTTAGAATTAAATAAGGAAATGCCTGTCAGGTTGTTCGCGGGCAATGTCTGGTACAAAATAAGAAGTCAGTCTTACTTATTATTACTACTACTGATATGATGGGACCTGGTGGATTTAGGACCGGAGTGGGATGTAGAGAGCCTAGACCTCTTCCCCAGCGGTGCCAGACCTCCCTTTGGCCCTGTTTTCCCATTCGTGAAGAGGAAATTACAATACCTGCCCTATTTGCCGCACAGGGGAACTTCATTAGCGCACCCGAGATGAGAATCAAGCCCTTTGAGCTCTGTAGATGAAAGCTGGTGTGCAAATGTAGTAAATGAGTGCAGAATGACATTACTTCATAAGTCAGTGCACCTTTCCCCAGGGAACCTTTGTTCTTCTTCATTAACATTTCCCCAGCTTCATATCTGCCCTAGAGGCTCTGCATCCTTGGGTTATTTCAATGCCTCTCTTTATTCCCTAGTATCTCAACTCTTGAAAAATTAGAGTAAGAGTAACCTCTTTTCCTTTCACCGTTTCTCATCCCTTTGTGCTTCCTTTCCATTTTCTTCTTAGTGAATTGTGCCTCCCCGGGATGATCCTTTGATGGACTTACCTACACCCACTCTGCATCTCTCCAGTTCAGAATTAGTAGTCAAAAGGACTGTGTGCTTAGTTGCCTTGTGCCCATTTCTTTGTGATCTTCTTACATAGGCAAGTAAGAAAGTGTAAGCAAGCTGTGATTTTTTTTTTTTTTAATTGTTATCCGCTGGTCTGATTGACTTCTCAAAGGCCTCTCTGAAGCCTCTAAACTTCTGGCATTTTAATGGGATCAAAACCCTGGGTAGAAGTCATTTTGTCCATCCTCACACCTGTTGCGTGCGATCTGGAGATAATATTGTGGAATTTCTAATGATATCATTTTGAACAGGGGTTTCCACTTGCTTTGTAGTTGGAGAAACTGAGGTGCAAAGATATATTGCTTTCCTAACTGGACATGGTGATGGCTGAGCCAGGTTAAAGCAGTGGCACTAACTGATTCTCCATGTTGCCCTCACCGAGGAGTTGCATTTGGAATTTTTGGCTCTCACATCAGTGAATAGGCACTGGTTCTGAGTTGTTTATAGGATGTGCTCAGCAGTGAGGTAGGAGACAGTGGACTGGCAAACGAGTCAGGTCACTTGAGTCCTAATTGTGGCTCTAACACTAACTTATCATTTGATTTGGGCAAGTCACTCATGCTCATCCTGTGACTGGCTGGGTTTTCTCATCTGCAGAATGAGGGCCACGGAGCAGATAATATTTAAGGGGCTTACAAGTCTAACATATCTGCATGATTTATAGCTGAGCTTGCATGAGGAAGAAGAGGTTAAGAGGCATTGTCATTCCTATTTAATGTTCCTCTTTATGTAGGGAATTTGTCATTGCTTTTGAGACGTGGGTGTCACCCTGTGAGGGTTCTCGGTGAGGTTTGAATGGAAGCAAACTTCCAGGAAGGTCTTTGATAACCATCAAAACATATTTAGCTCTCTTGTATGGGGTATGTGCCTAATGCGGCTTTACTGCCAAGGAGATTCATAGACTTGTAACTGGAAGGAATCTAATCCAACTCCTTAGTTTTATCTGTAAAGAATAAAAGCAATAGCAAACACCTGTGTCATACATGCATTTTTATGTGCCAGGCCCTGTTCTCAGTGCTTTACATATGTTAACTTAGCTAATCCTTTCAACAGTCTTTTGAAGTAGGTACTGTATTAAAATTACCAAGGAGCTGAGAAGTTAAATAACTTGCTCCCAAGATTATACATTATCAAGTGGCAGAGCCGGGATTGGAACTCAGGCAGTCTGCCTATGTTGTTCAAGTTAGCCCAGCTACCTAGCACCTGGCTTTTCTGTCATCAGTGACCTAAAATGTTTCACTAAAAGGAAGTGATCTTAAGAAACCATCTATTGTTTCCTCTTGTTTTATGTAGAGTATTTATGAGGGTTGCTCCAGTAACCTGGTTGCACAGGATTCATTAAATGAACACAAAAGCTTTTATATTTGAGCTCAGTGACCCAAGAAGAGCTGAATAGCAGTTGACTGACCTTATACACATCTATTCATGCCCTTTTAAGTTCACAGTGCTGCACAGTGTATTATAAGACAAGTCTTTGTGCGTACATGTATTATTTCTGGTTACCTCTGGTGTATGAAAGATGAAATGTTTTAGGGATTAAGCTACTTGTCTCCACTGCTGTTTGCGAGCCTCTGCTCCTCGCTAGGTGCTGCTAGATGCTGGGAATGTAATGACAAATAAGATAAGACCTTCCCTCCGCTGGTTCACAGTCTGTTCTGGGAGACAGATAAGGAAAGCAGCAGTTGCAGTACTGTGTGAATGCTGCTGTGATAGGAACACAAATGCTGCTTTGAGCTGCTGCAGCTCACACCTCTCCAGGGGCTTATTCTCTTTCCTGTAAGTAGTGTGCTTTTGAGATAAAGTGTAGCACTGTTGCTTGCTGTTTTGTTACGATATTTGTTTGTTTCCTTTGCAGTTGGCACAGCTGAAGCACAGAGAATTTAAAGATTAAGTTCTGAGATTATTCAGTGAGAGGTCCAGCTGGGAAACCAGGCCTTTTTTAACTCAAGCAGGATGCCTCAAAACATTACCTAGTGGTTTTGTCTTCATTGTGGAGGGCTTTTGTCCTGCTGTACTCTTTGTTTATGATACATTTTCCTTTCAGTAGGCTTGGTTCTACTGAGACATTTCTCTCCCTCTCCCACACTATGGGAATAAGAGTTTTAATTGTTTTTACCTTAAAATATATATATGTGTATAATATTTATACTTACATATGATAAATATTAAAACATTTAAAATATATTTAAATATATATAAAATATACACGTGTGTGTGCGTGTGTATATTTTACAATCACAGCTGTTAAAATTGTGCCATTATATAACTAGATGCTATTCTTAGGAGTGAAAAATGTCTAGGACTAGTTTATTAGATGACACCCAGTTTCTTTATTCTAAGATAGAGGGTAATGTGGAGCTAAGGCTAAGGTGTTTGGTTTCGTTTTTCTGTCCATGCATACTCTTGAGAGTGTAGGGTAGTAGAAAAAGGACGGAATTTAAATCTTGATTCTGCAGGTTACTCAAACTCAACCGCTTGTGTTTCAACATGGGTAAAATTAGAATAAAAATAGTTGCTTAATTCTTATGAAGAATAAATAACATATGTAAAGTATCTTCATGCCTGCATATTATAGTAACTCCATAAATGATTGCTGTTATTGTCTTTATAAGTGATATGCACCAGTCTTTCGGATTTTTTTGTGGAACTTTCGAGCAACTGGTATACCTGCCTGGTCCTTGGTCTTATTCCTTCATTAGGTCTCAGAACATTCCTGTTCTTCCAAATATAAGTTTAAGCAGATGCGGAGCTGATAAATGTGGATATTAAAACAGTGTCTGAGATAGCTGGGCATATTTTTTTTCAAGGACGATCATGACCTAGTTAGAAAGGGAAGACGGGAGTGTTTTTGTCAGTTCCAATGGATGTCATGGTAAACATGTTCAGAATATAAAGAAAAAAAAACTTGTGATGTAGTTTTGGCAGTTATCACAGGTGAGAGCATGACAGTAGGATGACCCAAGAGAAGTCAGCTCCAAGCAGTCAGCATCCTGCCTCCAGACAGGATGGTGGGCTGTGGGCCAAAGAGCATGCCCACTGATGAGACCCACCTTTGCTAGGTGGTGGATGCAGCCTCCTGCGGTGGAGAAAGCATGGCCACTGGTACCAGCCAGACCTGGGTTTACATCGCAACCCTGCTGCTTCCCAGCTGTGGGAGGTTGAGCAAGTTTCTTAACCTTGATGAGCCTCAGTTTCATCATCTCTAAAATGGGATTAATGTAACTGTGGGGTCTACCTCATAAAATTGTCGGAAGGATTAAATGAAGTAATATTTAGTGCTCAGCACAGTGTCGGACACATAGGAAGTACAGAGTAAATGGTAGTTTTAGTTTTCTTTCTACTCTCTTTATGGAGGACATTTATACAAGCCCTCTCTTTTCATCCTGTGGCTCATTTTCCATTCTATGTATTTTATTTCTAAGAGTATTAAAAACAATAAATAGGACCCAATTAAATGGACATCAGTAGTATTTAAAAAATTAAATATCCTCAATCCAGTTGTATCACTCTTTTTCATTCTCTTAGATATACTGTTATAGCAAAGAAAGGAACGAGAATCATCATAAACATTGAAGGACTTCTCCAGCATTGGCACCACAAATACCAAAAGATTCTCTCCTATTAGATGACATTTATAGATAACTGTGTAGATAATAGTGTTGCTTTAGTGTTGAAATGAAATCGTAACATGTGAAACCCTTAGTGTCCAACATGTTATAAGCAAAGTTCATTAGCGTCATCTGCTATCACTGTGTATTAGGCACTGGTAGGCACTTTATGTAATTCATTACCTCTAGTGTTCCCTGCAAATTAGTGTTAGAGCCTAAATTTGGACACAGGATTGACACGGTCCCAAGGGGATCCCAGATCTTTTGAGAGGCCCCAGTAGACTGTAAGCTCCTGGAGAACAGAGTTGGTTCTGATCACCTTTGAATCTCAGATCCCAACACAACGTTTCATCAAATATTGGATGAAGGCAGAAGTATATACATGAATGAATGTAGAGTGATAGACCAATCACTGTAGGTTCTCAAAACGTCTTTTAACAGTCTTTGTTTTTCAAGTAGTGTATTTTAAAGAGATGTAATGAAGAATTCTAAACCAATGTTTTTCACCTACTCATTGACATCCATTAATGGATTATGAGATCCAGTGGGTCACATCCATGATTTTTGTTTTGTTTGTTCTGATCCTTCTGTTGATAAGAATTGGTACTGAAGAGAGTACATTGGTCTGAGAGGAGGTATTTTTAGCCTTAAAGACCTCGGGCAAAACCAGGATAAGCATGTACTACTGTGAAGTCCACCAGAGTTTGTCAACAAAATCAAAGGTAGAATGATTCAAACGTCGGGGTTCCTCTTCCAGTTTATTGGGGGTGCTTTTGGGTCAGTTATTATTCTCTTACCTGAGATAGGTTAGAAAAAGAAAGAAGGAATTGAAATTCATTTGCAGGAAAATAACGAACCTTAATGGATTGTTCTTTGTAAGGTGCCTTTGGTATCATCTCATTAAAGACATTTCTATAGCTTACTCTCCATTCTATGCCTAATGGGTTATTTTCTGAAATATAGATCCCATTATCACTAATGTAGTATTTTAAATTCCCACTGTGCTGGACACATTAACAAAAGTCCCTTGAATAGATATGGTCTCTTATACTTGATACTTCTTTAGGCACCGTCCAATATATAAATATTTCTTTAGTGCTCAGCGTATCAGGCACTACGCATGAAAATGAGAGGAAATACCTTTCATCTAAGACATTGCTCAGCTGCTCTCGAAGCACTGAGTAGTCTTCCCAAAGGAACTGAGCTAGCATTCTTAAGTTGCTATTTGAGTTTTATGCCCAGAGCTTCCACTGGTGGGCCCATGGTACATGAAATTTCCTGGTCATGAGTTTGAAAATTGGTTGAATAGAATATGACGAAAGACATGGAGCCTGACTGTAGTATCTTAAGTGGAAAGAATGACACACCCCTGCAAGACTTCCAGGATTGCAGAAAACCAGACAGATGGTTAACTGCTGTGATGATGCAGTGCTGGGTGACCACACCCCAGGTATACAGACAGGCCAGACATTGAGTTCAGTTTATGGGCTTGAAGGGAGAGACTGCCCTTTTTAACACTTATTTTATTGGATGGACTTTACTGGTACTTAGGTAGAGGCTAACGTCGAGACAGATAATAGCCCTTGAGTCTTCTTAACCCTTTAAAAATTGGCTTTCTTTCCCTGGCCCCAGTACTCAAACTGTATTCAGTTTGCCTTCGCAATGTAGTCTAAAGGATTAGAAAAGAAGTTCTGAATTAAAGCTCTAGGAATCAGCTTATATTAGTATTAGCAATAAAAAAGTAAAGCCAGACAACAGACATCTTCCCTCCCCATATCTCTGTGTGCGTGTGTTTGTTTTACCTCCATTGTAACTTCTCCACTTAGAAATAAAATTGACCTCTTTTCTTGCAGACTCGCTCTTTACTGAGTGTATTTGAAGAAGATGCTGGCACTCTCACGGATTATACCAACCAGCTGCTCCAGGCGATGCAACGCGTCTATGGAGCCCAGGTATCCTCCTGCCCCCTCACCTGGAGAGGAACAGAGTGGGAGCCCTCTGCCCACCTTGAACTTCTCTCAGGAGGTTGAGAGATTTGAGTCAGAACACCACCATTTAAACTTTTGAAATAAAATCACAATTGTTTTTCTCTTCTGTTCACCTCAAAAAACTGAGGACAGTTCATTTTCACAGGTTAAGAAATAGGGTAATTTTTCTGTAACTAGTAGACCCAGTAGAAAGGTACCACATAACTGCTTTTTAATTTTTAAAAAAATTCTACTCCAAAGGGAAACATTTGAGTCTCCTCTTCCTACTTGTGAATGAGTGGGTTCAGTATTCTAAGGCATGGCTCTTTGTCTTTCTCATAAATGGTCAGTCTTAGATGTCAGTGCAGGCGAGTAGAGATGTTTTTTCAAGGGCTTCCTCTGAAAAGACTTGAGTCACAGTTCTGGAACTGTTGGGTGGCTTCTTTGTTTTGAGGAACAAATATCTCTGCCTTGCAAAACCATGGAAAATAAATTGCTGAGTAGCAAAAGTGGATCTTTTTAAGATCAAGAAATGCCCATGTATGTTACTTTCTAAGAGAAAACTTGTGAGCTACTTAAAAATAAAATTTGTTATGTTACACATCAAAATATTATGGCAACCGATACTTTTCATTATTGATTCCTTGCCGACTTAAGCCTGTATCTGTTTATATGTTCCTTTTTCTCATTGACGATCTCTAAATAAATACCACATTCAGTGTATAATAATAATATAATATATCAATAATCATGTATACTCATTTATTTTACATAGCTCTTAATATTCATATATAATCATTTATTATTATCATGGTTTTATTAATCATTCATTCATATCCTATATGGGGAAAAATCTCAGCTCTTGCCATTAGGGAGCTTACAACTGGGTTGGGAGACAGACAAAAATAATTACCAAAGAGTGTTAGAGGTGCTAGGAGAGAAGGGTCACCTAACCTGGAGGAATTGTGCTGGGCACCCAAAAGGAGGTGATTATGATAGTTGAGACTTACTGAATACTTCATAGGTTCCAGGTGCAGTTTCAGGGGCTTTTACATGTAATCATTTCACTTCAGTTCCCTAACAACTCTGAGGTGGGTGTTGTTATTATATCTTCATTTTATAGGTCAGGAGATTTAAGGATTCTGATGATGAATGACTTTCCAATTCCACCCCATTAATACATGGTAGAGCAAGTCAGCCTGAAGCCAAAGCCCAAACAATTAACTGCTAAGCGTAAGGGTGGTAGTCTGAGCTAGGGAAGCGGCAGTGGAATTGGGAAGAAGTGGATTGGTGACTGATTCTATGTGAAGGGCTTGGATGGGTGAAGGATGAATCAAGAATGATGCCCACGTCTTTGACTTCAATAACAGGGTGCATAGTTGGGAGAATACAGGAAGAGGAGCAGGGTGTGTGTGTGTGTGTGTGTGTGTGTGTGTGTGGCAGTGGCAGGAATGGCAGGGATGTCAATCTTAATTCTTCCCTTTTTTTTTTTTTTGGTCGCACCATGGCTTGCAGGATCTTAGTTCCCTGACCAGGGATTGAACCTGGGCCCTTGGCAGTGAAAGTGCAGAGTCCTAATCACTGAACCGGCAGGGAATTCCCCTTAATTCTTTCTTGAGAGGCTGATTTTGAGGTGTCCATGGGACATAAGAGTGGGGAAAGAGATCTCGTTGAAAGTTCAGGTCCAGAGTTCAGGCTGGAGATAGATATTTGCAAACTACTGTATTATAGAAGTGTAACTTGATTAATTGGAACTAATTTTAACAACCAAAAGAATCATGTGCACATTTGTGATTTTGCTCGTTTGTTTAGGTAAAACATTTAAAAACTGGGACATACTTTGTCGATTTTTTAAAAGCCCTATTTATTTCTATTACATGTTTTTGTATTTTTCCCTAACTATTCAAAATTTAAGAGAACAGAAAATTTTTTACTGAGCTTATACCTGCTCTTTAGTAGTTTGAATGTTGTTATCAAATGATTTTTCTCATGTTTAAGAGTCCCAAGACTTACGGACTGTGACTCCACCACTCCCAAGAGTCTCTGTTCTGCCTTTCCATGTCTGTCAGAATCATTTACTTGGAGATGTCCAGATGCTCTTTTATGCGTTTTTTTCTTTTGAGCCAGAAAACTGCATTTTGCCAAAATTAAGTGGGTCTTGCATTCCAAGAGGCTGTAACCAGCTTTTACTTCACATCACATGATCATCACATGGGTTACTGGCAGAAGCCCTTCCTTCTGCCTCGGCATTTCCTGCAGCAGAAGCTAGCAAGAATGTCTGGCTAGTGCTGCCAACTCAGTGACAGATACAAGCAGTGGTCAGTGGCATTCAGATAGGCTGGGTCAGGGTCAGTTGTTTTTCAGGTTTATTTGAACATGTTTTGTTTTGTTTCTTTTCAATTAAATTAAAAAGAAAACTTTCTAACTCCTCTTTGATCAGTTTGTTTATATGTATGAGGGTGGGAAGAAAGAGAAAGAAAGAGTTACCAATGTTTTCATTCAACTTTTTCCCCCAAAGTTATGTTTTCCTGCTTTTATTTAACATTCTTCCTTAAATATTTTACACCTAGTTGTGTTAAATTGCATTAATAGAGTTTTATAATTTCATTTTTAAAAACAGAGGCACTTAGTAAGATGTTATTTTTCATTATTATATTTTTTAAACCAGATTTATGCTGCTGATAAATGATAAATGTTCATAAAAGATACTTAAAATCAGGCCACGTGGTAAGTTTCTGGATTCTGATATAGTGAATAGTATTTGGACCTTAGTTTTAGAAAGAGGAAGAGTTAAAAAAAACTAGAGGAAAGTTCTGTGAACAAACAGTTTTGCTGATTTTGGCTAGTTTGGGGGAGATTTTAAATTTTATTTGGCTTAAGCAGTAGAATGAAGCTATAGGCTATAAGCTGTTTTCAGCATTTTACAGCAGTCCCTGGTCACATCTGGTCTCCTAATTGTCAGATGTGCCTTTGCACATGGGGGAACTGAGTACTCCATCATGGGTCATCTGAATGAAGGAAGCCGTACACACTTCTCATGCAGCAAGAGACGGGTTACTTAGAAAGCTCTGCTATCTTTCAAACTATTGACTAAATTTAAAACTTCTATAGTGTCTGAATAGATGCATGGGTATACTTATGCAGTAAAATCTGCTCAAATTTTGCATTTAATACATTTGGTATACTTGTTTTGATTCTGTATGTCTACCGTGATTTTGTTTCTTTCCTAATGAGGTTAAAATTTTAAAAAATCTTTTCGAAATGGATTTTTTAGGGTCTTACAATGAAATTTACTTACGTAAATTTCTTACTTCTCCTCTCAGACATTGTATTGAGAGAAAGGGAAGGTCAAATGATGTTCCTAGCAGTATTAGTGAAACCTGGCATCTCCTGGAACCTGTCTTTCTCCTCCAAAAGATGACAAGCCTCTGTAGTTGGTGCCTTCAGTCTGGATGGAATTTTTTGTTTGTTTTGTTGATTTTTTTTTTTTAAGTACATTTTGGATGGAATTTTTCGAAGTGAGAACCATGGTTCAGACTCTCTCACTTCCTTTCAGCAAAGCAGGCCTACACAAACACAGTCTCATCTCTGCAGCTGCTCTGAACCAGACCTTTGGGAGTGCAGAACTCCTGATCCTAAAATGTAAAAGCCCACATTGGAGTTGGGAGTAGTATCTTTTCAAACTGGGGTGAGACCGTGGGAGGGGATAGGAGTAAAATACCTTGAAGGGAAGATATGCATACATTTGGTATTATAAAGAAGAAAATATTTTTCTTTAGAAATGATAATATATATAGATATCAAGCTAAGTGAGTTAATGTTCCTCTTGGGAAACAGAGTAGTGGGCATCCAGGAGTGTGAGCTTGTGATAGGGGAGAGAGAAGGATTTGGGAGGCAGACAGGATCAGAACTGTATATTTTAATAATAAAAATATTATTAGGCACATAAACATACCACACACTAGGCAAGGCACCGCCTGTGTATAATCTCATTTAGCTTTCACAATAAAGGAGAGGTATTATTATATAAAAGAGGCTATGTAACTCGCCTGTGGTCACACAGCTGATGAGTGGCAGGAACAGAATTTGAACTCAGGTCTTTGACTCCAAAACCTGCACTGTCACTCTGAACCCCTGTGCTGTACTCTTTCGACATACTGGTCTCTAGAAATGGCAGCAGAGGCTAAGGAAGTGGGAGTCTTCAAAGGTTGTTCTTGTCACCACAGAACACCCACACTTATCAGCCTAACAGCTTTGTAGTGTGTTATGGGTGGGAGCCAGCTCCTTTTTGTATCCCAGAGTAACTTCCCTTGTTTAATTGGTTTTTATCCATAATGGTTTCAATCAGTGCATTTTAACAGCTCTCAAAAACAGTCAAATTGAGGTTTCTGTGACAGGGACAGAGAAATATGTGTGTAGTTTAAGGCATTCGGGAGTAGAGAGCCCCTGAGTGGTTTCTGGAAGCACCTTCAAAGACCTGAGTTTTTGCACTTGATTTGCATGTGGGATCTACAGCCTTCCCTCATTCTGGCATTGAAGGCTTTCAGATTAGTATGGAAGATTATTCTGGGCCAGGCTCATTCATTAGGTATGAGGTTAAGTATGTGACCTTAGATGCATCAGATCTGAGTTCCAGTCTCGACTTGGCCACTTGCTGTGTGACCTTGGGCAAGTCACGTGATTGCCTGAGTTTCCTTGTTGGTTAAACAGAGGCCATAATAATACCCACCTCATAGGTTGTTATTAGAACTAATACCTGTAAAGTATAAGATCAGTCCCTGGCACGAAGTGCTCACTGTTAACATAACCAGCTTCTAAGCCTTAGAATAATAGTAGTTATGATAGCACTGTACCCTGGGACTGCTACTTGGGTTAAATAGAAGCTTGGCCCTCTGATCTTGACCTTCCTGAAGGAGCAGTCTGTACATTCCTCACTTCCTCACTGCGTAGTTGATGTTTGCTCCTCAGGCACCTCAGTCTGGGCT